GCTCGGCCTACGGGTGCTGGTCCCACAGGCCTGTTTTTCAACAGCCTGCGAGTGTACCAGCTGAGCTCGGCCTACGGGTGCTGGTCCCACAGGCCCAAAACCTCTCACAGCAGATTGCAGTAGGCGGATGGTGCGCCTGCAGGCTGCAGGGAGTCCCTGTTACTCAAGTTTCTTTTGCCTTGTGGGCTATGCGCCCACCGGCTTTCATATACGTTGACCCCGTCGGTCTGATTTTCAAGACTGGGATGATGGAGGAATTTCGTCAGCATCCCGACCACGCGGGAAGTCGAACGGACCCACCCAAAGAGGCGTGTGCTCAAGGTCCTCGACTGCCGTGACAGCCACTCGTGGGGGGGCATTTCAATCGCTCCCTTTTGTAATGCCGGTCACAGCAGCCCATGCTGGCATGCGCCCTACGTACAGTCAAGGAGAGCGGCGGTGCAGTCGCCTCCCATTCCCGTTGAGTGGATACGCAATTTCTCCCTTCCCTTATCTTGCTCAATAATTTCAAGCGCTCTTTTAACTTTCTTTCAAAAGGTTTTGCTCACCCATCCTTGCGGTACTCCTGCGCCGCCAGCCCCGGAGCCAGTTCCCGGCTTGGTCAAAAGACTTGATCTTTTAAACCGAGGAAATAAAAGAAATAAAATTAAAAATTAAATGGCGGGACTCACCGACACCCTTTTGGTCTTGCCAATCGGTCCAGGCTCGGACCCGCTCGACAAAACCAAGGGGGATAGTCCCAGACGACCCTCGACCCCTCAGTCTCCTCTTGGTCATTCCCCTTTGCTCCATCGCCGCTTGCTGGTCTCGAACCCCAAACCTGTCGCTCGAAAGTCCGGTACCGTAACCAAAAGGGCGAAGCCCACGTCTGAACTAGGTAGGCGCGAACCCGCATATGAATAGCTCGCGGGACCTTGATTGGTCCCACCTGGACAAACCAGGCCTCCGCCTTGGCCTACTGGCCAACCTTTTGGTCGTCAGAAGACGCCGAGACACCACCCGTGCCTAGGATCGTCGCTACCTGGTAGGCTGGTCGTCGGGCGTTCGACATGTTCTGTCAAGCTTTCGACTTTCCCCCTTACCAGGTTTGCCAATGTCGCGCCTTTCCATGCATCGCCAAACACATTCTTCCTGCGTGTGTTCAAGGCAGAGTCTTCATCTTCTTTGTGACGTACCCGTGAGAGGCTGAGCCGGCTCGCAGAGTGAAGTTAGTTTTTTATAAAATAAAAGAAAAATATAACCAAATTGAAAACTACAGAAAAGGTAACCGGATCCTATGACTTTGATGTCTTCCGCCGCCCTGATACTGCCGAGGACTAACGGTCACTTCGCAGTGCAACGCAATAATGCGTGCCCCACATACTCTCTCAACCGGTCGTATTTGACTCGGAGTCTCGCCAAGAGCGAGGCTGCTGAGGTGAGCGCCCTGACGCGTTTTACCTTATCATCACGTTTCGTTGATCAAGGATGCGCCCAGTGCGACTTTTAAAAAGGACGGCAAATACCCTTGTAAGGGTGTTTGCTACAACAATATGTTAGTGATTGCATGGGGTTTGACTGAGAACAACTTGGAAGGTTAATGAACTAAGTAAGATACAGGACTTATGTTTTTTGTGATCAAGACAAGTGAAAGATGAAAATTTTGGATGAACGAACCCTTGCTTTGAATTTGGTTGAATGCATTGTTGATCTGACATGCTTGTTGGCAATGCCTTGTCTTTTGCTCAAGCTCTGTCTGTCTTCTGCATTATAGGGTAGTCTGTTAGTGCTCGCCTTATGCTTGAGCAATAGGCAGGCATATGCTCACCTTTGTTTTTCGCACTTGTCTTCTTATGCATGATTGTTTTTGATAGGACTTTGGCTAGCCTTTGAGATAGTGGAAGTTCTGGGAGCCTCTTTTCTTTAAGGGAAGTGCTGCCGAAATTTCTGCTAAGCATTCAGGGTTAGTCAAGTCTTGGAGATGTCAACTAGGATAGGATACAGTTTGGTCTTTTGGAGTCGGTAGGAATTCTGGAGGCCTTCCTTCCTAAAGGAAGTGCTGCCGAAATTTCTACCGAAACCAAAGAGTTAGCTTATTTTCAGATATTTTCTTAATCTCAAATTTTCTTTTTAGATTTGGTATAATAAATATTTTGCGAGCACACTTCCCTGAAGGAAGTGCTGTCGAAATTTTCGGGATTTTCATATCGTTACCGGACGCTGCTGCTAAGTAAGCTTAGAGTGCGTTACGGAGTTGAACTCCATTAACTCGACAGACGATGCCTGCCTTGATTATTGTGGTGCAAGTCATTGCTACCTGCGAGAGTTTCTTCGAAGTCTTGAGCTTCATCAACTTCTGCTATCACCTGATAGCAGGTCGGTTTGCGACTCAACTCCTACCCACCATGATACCCACGCCCAAATGTCTGTGACCCTGTAGGCGAAAGGCATTTCCGTGTGAAAGAAAACCTACCCTTGGTACCTCTTTCGAATGACCATCCAAAAGCTGTGCGAATCGGGACCGGCGGATATGCCTTTGTTGAGTGGGGGGCGGAAAGGGGCGTGTGGGACATGAACCTGGGAGCAGAGGAGTTGACCACGTTTTATGGCATCCGCGTGTGGATTTTCATTGGATTCCATGTGTGTGCAGGTATGTATGGGAGCGATGGCTCGCTCCTGAATTAAGGGTGATATGGGTGAATGAATGAAGGGTGTGAGTGAAAAGATTCAACTATGGCTGTGAGAATGACCCTCCTTGATTTCCCCCGAGACTCGCCCTTTTCATTTCTTATTTTGCTCTTGTTGAATGTATGTAGCGAACAGGCAGAAGTAGCCGAGCGCGAGGTTTAGCGCTCGACCTTAGATCGGACCGAGTTTTAGTTTGGGTACGGCAAATTGCTCGCCGACCCGTGATAACTCGTATTTTCCTTCCGAAGAGGAAGGACGTGCGTACCCCGTCTCAAAGGGGTCTTAATTTTTATAGATTATTAGTCGGACATTGGTCCTTAGCCTGAAATTCGAGGTCCTTGTCCAGGACATCCCAGGCTCTAGTCCAGCACAACAAGGTTTTCCCATTGAGCCGGACCTACGCCCCTTGCTTATCGTCACCCACTGCCTAAAAAACAGGGGTGCTGCAAGGGTCGAACGGTTTATCCTTCAGCCGTGCAATATCGTGAAGGAGAAACCCTTCACGATATTTCGCTTTCGACACTTGAGTGTCGTACGCAACCCCGAAACCCATGGGAGGTTGCATGGATGTGGGTAACGCATGAAGCGTCGCCATGATAGCAGATTAAGTGAGAACACATGACTGAACGTTATGGTTCCCATGGCAGTGGCATTCTTTTTATGCAACTCTGCGCGGACCTCGCTCAGACACATTGGCAGTTCTGAGTTATGGGTCAGGACGTATGAAAAAGGAACTAGGCTAATTTGCTTGTATGAGTTATTTTGTTTTGTCGTGTATCGCGTGGTTGAGTTAGGATGTTC